TTAATTCTGAAATGAGCAGTCAAGATGAAAAATATGGCTTCCACCGAATGTAAGCGCAGTACATACTTTAAAAGGACTTATATTTCCACAACTCAACGCGGCAGTAATACAGTACAAGAAAAACGTAATTTTATCCAGCAAAAAGAAGTACAATGTATAAGAAACATCATGCGGCTTCAATAGAAAAGTCAAACCCGTTAAGACGCCACCTTCGACAATAGCCAATTTAATTTGAAAAGCAAAACTTATCTAAAAATAATAGTACTGTATTAGAAACCTCGTTAAAACGCCATCGGCTAAAATTACTGATAAGTCAAATATGCTCTTGCCAATTAATTTTGTCTTCAATGGCCCATCAACAAGATTTAAGGTTCTGTAAGGGGTCTCCAATAAATAAATAAAAACAGAAACACAAAGATATCATGCATTTACTTCTTGGAGACATTCGCTAGATATATTTTACCCATACAAATGTTATTTTGCTTGTTTCATAGAATAATCATAATTTTATTTCCTATCATTTTTTACTTTCAGATAATTTCAGCTTTTTTGACGAACCACCACCAACCCCGTTACACTGTCACAAATGAGGCAGCTTCTTGTGGCTTGACTGCATTCGATATTCAAAATAGGCATCACCATATGGAGAAGGTAATTCTGAAATAGGGTTCCATACGGGCTGGGGGGGGGGGGGGGGGGTTGAACGAAGAAACTCTGGAATAAAGTTCTACTTATAGCGCGAAACACATGAGAAGGGCGGCGAGACGCTTACGGAATGGGAACGAACTCTTCCGCGTTTCTTCCCGGCTTTCCGGCGAACAGCTGATCGCGACGACTATCTGGGCGTCGGTTTATGAACACTGCTCTCACGGGAGAGCGGCGGGCGACCCGAATTCTCGAACCCGGCGCGACGGATCCATCCCCGCCCCACCAGGTAGGCACTGTGCATGCAGTACTGATGTACTTGGGACAGAGAGAAAAGGACAGAGAGCACTCCTTTCAAGGACAAAAAATAATGAAAATACTGCCCCAGTCTGACGGAAATAAATCACCAGGATAATGAGGAAATTGAGCAGCAGGGATTCGGTTCCACATTCGACGATATGCTTTATACAACACCAGAATAAAGACAAATTCATCAAGAGTTTCCATCTCACCAATTTCTGTTTTTTTTGGAGAAAGACAAAAAAATCAGGCGAATGGGAGGATATATTCGGGTGCATGATTTCATAGTAAAATACTGCGTACTAACCCAAGACCAGCCAAATTCAATATTTCCGCAAATATAGGCCACTTTATGGAAAACCTTAAGCGTGAAAAAAAATTAACATTTTCGCAAAACAGACACCCACCAGGAATAAAATCTGCCAATTTCCCCGCAATAATTTCGATTGTTTTTATGAAAATAATCTCGGTTATGTCGGCAGTACCCAAACCGGTTCCGGGGAAGCATGCTTCAGATACTCGAGTTCAGCATATTATGGGCCACACTACGTCACGTATTTGACGTATTAAAATGTCTCGAGTATTGAATATACTGTACTGTATAGGCCGCACTAGGTCTTCTATTCGCATTCTACCTTAAAGGAAGGCATTCAGATACATTCTGAAAAAAAAAACTTTGTCTTGGAAACAGATGCTCTCAACAGCATTTTGATTTGGGGTTTTCCGGAAAAGAATAGCGAAGTTCGCTTCGAAAGTAGACAGATATGTTTTAAAGAAAGGGTTTTGCCATCATCTCGCAAACGGAGGCAAAATGACTGACGGTCTTTACTCGCATCATTTGTATAGATTGCCCCCTGTCCACATTTGCATAGATTGCATAGTACTCTACAATACAGTTAAAACCTCTCTATTCGACCCTAATCCGCTGCCAAACTAGAATCGAATTCTGTGAAGACACTCTCAAAAACGAAAATGCGAAAAAAATGGGAAAAGCAGGTCGAATTGCGGAACGGTCGAATTGCGAGGTACCACCTCTACAGTCGAGTCCGTTCATCTCCAGTTTTTGCTGACTCCAAATATTGAGTAGCGGAACGAGCGCCACGTTCATAAACCGCAATTCAGACGCCAACGTTTGGTTCCTATACTTCGAACCCAGGCGTCTCATCCGCTTTAATCTCAGCGACGCTCCAGCGTTGCCAACTGGTGTCTTACATACCGTTGTCTACTAAAAAATCATATACAGTATAATCTCGTCATAACAAATTCCTTTTTATAAAGAATTACTACTTGCCATTAATTTGTTTTTCAGGCCCTGTCCAAGCATTCATTTTAACGAATTTTTGTCTATAACGGAGCTTTATTTGAGGGCAGATGCTTCGTTGTGACGAGATTCTAATTTATATAGCGATATACTGTACAGTTGAAAAATTGAATCTCACATTGTTGAAAAACAAATTACTGTACGCATACGGCTACAAACTCAGGGTGGAAGCGTCTTCATTATTTCTGCAGATTAACTTACATTAGCATTTGCTCTATATACTCTATGGTACTCTCATTTGAACCATGTCACTACAGACAAATATTTTCAGAGTTCTATATGCTGTGATGGAGTACAGTGCCTTTATTTCTGCTTTTGTTGGATGATTTGCATGGGAATTGCAGGTCTCGGCTGGACTGCTCTGTCAAAACGGAGACTGTACTTCTGTGCAGAGTTCGGAAGCACAGCAGATCAGGTAAAATTTGGACATTGGCGGAATACATTCCAAATCCTAAATTGTATGCTACAATTAATGTTTTCATAGTCCCGGAATAAATCAAACAGAAGTGATGCAACATGAATCTTATTAACATGAATTGGTTGGATCTATAGTAAAATAAACCGAAAATCTTTCGGAATTTCAAAAATATGCGAGAAAATTTACATGGCTAATCAGTTATTTTTTAATGTACCTGAAAGCTAGAAATGTTAATCTTTATGACTGTGACTCATCGATTGTGAATAGGAATGAACAGTTAAGGAAAAAAACGCTGCTCCCTGTGTTCACCCAGAATCCCGATACCCTAGACCGATTGAATTCTTGGGCAGGGATCGAAAACAACGTGTTCTGCGTAAAAAAAAATATATTCAAGAAGTTGATTTATGATCAGTTAAACGAAACACTGCAGATTGAGAAGGTTAATGGGTTGTTCACACATTTTTCAAATGATGAGTTTCCGTCTTATTTCAAGTGTGATGTGGAATTGTGCTAGCTCGAACATTATTCAAATCAAACAAAAGAAATCACTTATACTCGCATTTTGCAGGAAAATTAGCTCTTCTGCATTTATTAGGAGAAACTTTTTTTTGAGAAACTATGTCGTACTTTCTTCAATAGGATGCTTTTCCTCTTTCTGCGACAATTATTCTGAATGATAAACTTTCTATTTGCTAAATGTCACAGTTCATATAATTTTAATAAGACATAACGATTGCTTAAGTATAAATAATTTGTAGAGTCCTTTGAAGTTTGTTGGGACGGGATTTGACCAGTATTGTGCATTATAATTGTCCAAGCCGGATTATAGTAAGAGTGAATATAATTAAGATCTATGTTTGCAGCGTCAATCACAAACTTATATGTTCTCTACATATTTTGTTTTGACTCTGTTGAGTGCAAATGAAATTTTAAAAGAAAAGGATTAGTAACTAAAACCCATTAGTTTTTATTTTTTCAATCTTTGATGACGTGGACGCGTGTCTCTTTCGAATGCTGTGTGGATTCGACGAGGAAGGAAAATATGCCCTTCGAGGAATTGCTGGCATTTTTCGTTCGGATTTCCAACAGCCACATAAAAATTAAATTTAATTCTCGGAGCAATATACGGTAATAACACAGCGGGTTTAACAGATAATTAACACACTGACTCACCCTTGAATCAGTCAACAATCATACCGTGACCGCATTTTGCGAGTGCAATGTGCAAAGTTTGGCAAGGTTGTAATAATACGCATCTCGTAGCGATGCAATCATCACGTGACTCGCGTAAATATATGCATGAAAAACAACGCGCCCATCAGGTTTTGCCAGCATCTGAGCATCATGGCTACACCATACAGGGTCTCGTGCTTCGGAACGCGGGCCACTTTCTCGGCCCAGCTGACTGGATCGCCCCATCATCGTCACACGCTCAGCCGGAAATATATGAACCCAGCGTTCGAAATGCCTCCTATGACCCCTCCTGCGCCGGGGAAACACTGCCCCCTCATCCGCCATTTTGGCAGAGAAGATTCGCTGCTGAAGTGACTATATATTCGCATATCAGGCTGATCTTGAAAATTAGAACAGTATCCTGCTCCTACCCAAGGTCATGGGTAATCCCGCGAAGCTCATGTTCTAATGGGGACGCTGTGGGAACTGCCTTTGTCTCAATTACAACTTCAACGTCAAGATCAAAGCCACTGACAATCATATGGAAAAGTTTGCCTATACGAACAGTGCATCGCCATCGCAAGGAAAGCAACGAACTATGAATTGAACTCATAACGAAAGTTCATATAATGACGTGAGTTCCCCAACACAAAAAACTTGAACAAAAAGATGATCAAAAGACTGCATCCCTTGCATGCAAGGAAGGTCAAGATCTGTGCCTGTTTTTTTTTTTTCGGGGAAGTGCTATTGTATATAACAATAGAGTCCACCAATTTACTTCATTAATGTTTAAAACGCATTGAACATTATGGTGCATCACTTGCTGAGGACTTCAGCTCGTGAACTGCTTGAAGATTGATTTTCGATACACTGTTCATCGTTCCAAACAATTCATGTTTGCTGTAGTGCAGAATTCTTCCGGGAAAATACTCACATGTAACGGATAAGCTCTTCCCGTGACGTCGAACTTCACAAAAAATTTGAGATTCCAAAAATTTCGGGCCTTCTGCACCACTTCGACTTCGCACATCAGCCATTATCTTCAACTTAAAAGACCAACTACATCATTGAAACAAAAAATTGAAAATAGGATTAATAGAATCGAGCGAAGCAGCAGTCGGTCATCGAAATGAAACGAACAAGGGCACTCAAGAAATATTTTATTTCGCACAAAACTACAATACAGTAAAGCGATTTTCTCCTCCATTAGACCCACAAAGCTCGAAACCCTGGCAGCGACAGAATGCAATTACCATGCACAGAAGTCGCAATACTGCGGATGCTACGAACTTTTTCCCCAAAGCACCTCAACAAAACTTGGATTTCAAAAATTCAACGACTTTGGTAGCAGAATCGACACAACCGTCGAAATGAGAATGAGTGAATCCATCGCCGGCGAGCAGCAACATCGGTTCGGTACTGCCAACAACAAAACCAGGCGAGTCCGGGTAACTTTTCACCACCTGCGAATAACGCCACTTCTGACACTTGACATCTTGAGTCTCAGGCAAATTTGGCAACAAGTCTCGCGCCGAAGACAGCAGATCTTCTTTCAAATCTTCTGGAGAACGTTCCACATTCTTTTCTCCGAAAGCAACGTCAGTGTGAAGCACTACAGCAGTGGGACCACCATCTAGTCTCATTTGAAAAATATACGCATATTACACACAGATAATTTCGATGTAACAAAAACGCTTGTTGATAGTTTTTCACCTTGGTTTCGTTTTCGGTTATCGAATGACGCGTATCTCCAAACAGGATGCCCGTAAATGAATTTGGCCACCCAAGGAAAATCGGGCACACTGACGCCTTCACTGAAGAACATTCCGAGGGCATAGCGGCTGCTGTACTTGACTTGGTCTAAGTTTCCATGAACTCCGGCCTCCTCTACGAACAAAACACATCGAATTCAGCCTTGTGACAAGAAAACTATTACATGAAACCTTCGAGAAAGTTCTAAGCAATGAATTTTTTCATCAACTATACTCTAAAGCTAGGATACAGTGTTTCCTTTTAAAGACCGCTACAAGGGTTAACGGAAAGCTCAACTAAAAAAGATCGACGCATTACGTTAAACCCTACCAAAATCTAGCAAAAAATCGCCTCATCTAACCTTTTTATTATATATGTGGGTTTTCAATTCATGCAAGGAATGTCGAAGCACCATATGCGCACCTGTGATACGGAAGAAGCCGGAGCAGTGGGCGTTTTAAATACTGCACAGTCCTACTATCGTAAACACGATTCTCAAGATACAAATTTCCGAAGCACAACTAAAATCACGACGACGTACACTCACTCAACGTCTGTTGTACATCTCCTTGGAGCTGTAATGCCTGAGGCACAGGCATCGTGAGCAAGACATTTTCGAAAATTTCCTCACGGCCGTCCAATGTAGTCGCGCGCCAACGGCCGTCAACAATCGTCAATTTAGACAAATGAGTGTTGTAATCGATAGCAACGTTTTCAGCATCTTGCAGGAACTTCTTCACAAGTGAACCAGTTCCATTACGAGCTACGTAGTGTTTCGTGCCTTCTGGTAGATTTTTCATGCCCTCAAGATGACCCTTTAATTTCTCCAGTTTCCCGGACTGCAGTAGTTCTTCATAAATGCTAGGACGCAAACAGAGATTCAATTAATATCCTCGACGATACGTTTCGTCGCTCGATTGTTACCTCGAGTGCTTTTGGGCATATACCGGAGAAACTGTGATGAACTGCGCCCCCAAATCTGCTACATTGTCCTGATCTTTCGGGCTTCTCGTCGTAGACATTCTACCACCTGGAATAACATCGAAGAATCTAGGACTAGTGCCACGTTCCGTGACACAATTCCATAATATTTCTCACCCGCCCCACGGGCTTTTTCCCATACGACAAGGTCGAATACTTTCGAGAGGCTTGGGTCACGACTAATAAGCGAACAGCACACCGCAGAAGTGATCCCGCTTCCAACGATTAGTAGTTTCTGTGGAACCATGACGCGTGAACACTGTACAACTTTTATTGATACACTGCCTGTAAAAATAAACACAATCGTACAATTAAAAAAGAATAAATCGTAGAAGAATCGTCCAACCGTGGCGAATTGAGAATATATTTTGCCAAAAAGTTCAACCATTGAAGATACAGGGAATTCACAGATGAAGAATGCGGGATCAATACATGAGAACGTAGAAAATAGATCGGTGCAGCAGCACAGTTCTATCCAAAACATCAGGCACACGGCATCCCGGATGAACAGCAACCAAAGTTCCAATCATTCAAAGCAAATTCACAAGATACCTCAATCCAAACGTTTCTTACAGAAAAGTGTTGATCCCAAAAGGGAACCGCAATCCGGAAATGTGGGAACACGCTGGTTTTACGCTGATGGCACACGTCTAACTCTTGCAAACCACAATACTCCACTTCATTCCAATTAATTCAAAAACCACGTCAAAAACCTCAACAGTCCTCAATTTTGCACCGTTGAATAGCAAAATAACTATTTCTTCTGGATTCTATGCGCAAAAATATGCCACAAATTATTCCTGGAAATTTGATCCAATCATCTCATCCCAAACTTGAAATTCTACCCGACGTAACATGGATTAATCGCACATGGGCGAAATTTCACCGGCTCTTGACTCAGAATCCCTCGTGAAACTGCAAACAATGCCATGGCGATCAATTCCATCGCTGCTTCAAGTTTACTGCTCTTGTAATGATGGCTAAAGAACTTCGCGAAGTGGACTCCGAAAAAAAAGGAAGATAGAGAAAATCACAGAATGGAGAACATGAGAAAATGATGACGCAGATTCAAGGCATGAACATTCCGACATTTTCCGGAAAAGTGGTTCCCTTATACCTGCTCGACAGAGGGTTCACGTAGAAAATAGAATGCGCGATTCCAAGGTGGAATGCGTCGTGATGGCTTGAAGGAGGTCATGACGTGGCCCAAGAATAGTGAAAACCATCGTAGCAAAGTTACAATCAATATCTCACTCAAAGCAGAGAATCCAAAGTGCGCCAATCCGAAATTTCAGTGTACCCGCCAAAGAATTATCACGGTTTAAATCTTCAGGGTTTTCGGGATTTCCCAAGGGAAAAGTTCCCGGCCAAAGTGTCCATATGTGCTCGTCAGTTGATAAATTGGTCGCTTCAAATCCAGTTCCCTTCACACAAAAAAAACAGTTCACTCATCCGGTCATTCGAAAGAAATCTTCGGACTTACTTGATAATTTTACCAGGACGCAAATCAAAATTCTGCTTTACAATAGCAAGCAGTTCCTTTTGGGTCAACTTTGAGCTACCGTAGCTGAACACGGAAATTGACAACGGCTCAGCAACACCAATGGCATATGAAATCTGCAAGTAAACTTTGAAGTATTGAGAGGAAAGATTCATTAGAAATCTCGAAAAATACCTGGACGAGACATCTTCTACACAGCCCAGCCTTCACCAGGGACTTGGCCACCCAACGAGCAGCATACGCTCCAGATCGGTCAACCTTGGTCGGATCTTTCCCAGAAAATGCACCTCCTCCGTGTGCCCCCCAACCACCGTACGTGTCAACAATGATCTTACGCCCAGTCAATCCTGCATCTCCCTGGACACAACATTTCACGAAGAAAAATTAGTTCCGTATAACTTCCAAGTAGAACGAATATCGGCAAGGTTCAGGTGTGTCTATCATAACAGCGCAACTATAAATACGTCATATTTTCTATTGATGATGGCGAAAAATGTTGAGCCTGCCATTTTGCCAAATTCATCTTTCTGTTTCATTTTCGACGATATTTGAATTAAAAGAGGAAGTTAATTTCAATCCCGGTTTGCATGAACAGCTTTCTTTAATTTTTCGAGAAATGAAATACAGTACATTATCAAACCAAGGAAGAAGGAGAAATTTTCTTCGGTTATTGTCGATTGAAAGTAAAATATACGCACAAGAGGACCGCCGATGATGAAGTTCCCGCAAGGATTAATGTGATAGACGGTTTTATCATCCAAATATTCCGCAGGGAGGACGACCTTGATGACCTTTTCCATGACTTCTTCGCGGAGCTTCACCAGAGGAATGTCCGGAGAATGCTGGATTGACACCACCACCGTATGGATTCTGGTGGGAATCGTCGCTCCATGATCAGAGTAATATTCACAAGTAACCTGCGCAAACCATATTTCGTCATTCCTTGCAAAAATGCAATGCACGAGACATTTAAATCCGACTTAGACCTGGGTCTTGCTATCTGGCCGAGCCCACGAAAGAGTTCCATCACGACGGAGTTCGGAGAGCTTCTCGTTAAGCTTATGCGCCAAAATAATCGTCAATGGCATACATTCCTCGGTTTCGTCAGTGGCGTAACCGAACATCAAGCCCTGGAAAAAAAATGATAACGTGAAGGAGCAAAGACAAAGGAAAACCATACAAAATGCACGCCAATAAGCAATTCGGAAACAAGCAACATCAACTACAACCCAAACCTGATCTCCGGCCCCAATTTCCTCCAAACTCTTGTGCAAATGAACCCCAGCTTCTATTTCAGGACTCTGTCGGTCTAGCATCAGCATTACCGCACATGTCGCACCATCAAATCCTGCGTGGACATGTTCCAAGAAAGAAAGCACCATCAAGCTGTTAAATGCCAAAAGAAAAACCTCCAAAGAAATGGAAGACGAGAAGCATGCACCACACCACTTATTCTAAAACCAATACCATCCGTATACCCTGTCGCAATGAGTTCAAAGACACCGAGCACCAGGAAAATTAACATACAAGTCACCTGGTCTCCGGCGCCAACATCATCGTCATTTTTATCTTTGTGGACACCAGCCGCAATTTCGTGGCTTTGCTGATGAGTCGCAACCATCACATTGCACGTGTTACAATCAAAACCTGCGATATTTTTTATACAAAATTCAAAGGAAACAAATAAAATGTCAGGCTCTTGAGCAGGTCAACCTTCGACGCGCACAAGAACAGAGTAACCTCTTCTGCCCTGGACAACCATGGACTTACCCTTTCGAGAATCGTCGAATCCAATTTTTCTGACAGTTTCGCGGGTAATCTCCTGATAGTCAACATTTGCGGATGAGGTTATTTCTCCGCATACTAATACCATCCCCGTCTTCGTTGCACATTCTGAAAATAGAACATTCCTTGTAAAATCTAATCATTAACTATATCCAACAAAAAACTAACCACAGGCCACTTTGGCTTCAGGATCTTGAGCCAAATGTGCATCCAGGATTGCATCACTTATCTGATCACACATTTTATCTGAAAAGTGGAAGCTGTTTATTGTTTCTACCAATATATCGTACGCAGAAAATAGCACTAACCTGGATGTCCTTCTCCGACAGATTCGGAAGTGAACAAGAAGGTTTCGGCTTCATTGGACATTGGATCTGCTCCAGAATAACCTCCATTTGTATGAGGGTTACTCATTTCCGAAGTTCAACACCAAAGAAACCAGTCAAATTCGTACCTCGAACGTTATTAAAAAGCTTGAACTTGAGACACAGTTCTGCCTTTGGAAGAAATAGAAATTCAACTCTCAAGAATAACAAATTGCTAACAGATGTAAACCTAGGTACGATGAGTTCCCACCGAAATAAAAAAATTTTTGCACAAGCAACCACGAACAAAAGCAGGGGTCACGGAGAAATTAGATTCACAAAAGCTTACCAATTCGGAAAACACAATAGCTCACTATTTTCGATCTCGTTAAAAGTCATGGAAGAATACTGATTGCTAGAATAATACTTGAACTCCTCTGACTAGCACGATAAATGGCCTTCAATTACTACGTTTACATGAGACAGCGCATTCAAATCAGAGAAACTATTTCATGTACAACCAGTTCGAATGAAAAACATCCAACGTACTGAAGTAATTTTTATCCAAAAAGCTACAGCAAGAACGCGAACTGAAGTAAGAAAGTCTGAGAGGAATCGGCTAGCTTTTAAATATTGTAAAAATTGTACCGCAGAATTCGGGATAAAAAAAGCTCACGTGAAAAAATCTGATCTTACTCAAACAAGACGGAAAGCCCTACATGTCTAAAGCTCATTCATAAAAAGTTGCCGCGGTATAGAACACAACGCATGCGGATGAGGATTTAGCTAAGGATAAATGCATCAAGAAACACAGGCGTACACAAACATAGTGAATGCGAGTACAGAACCGCGGACAATTATTTCACGAGAGAAGAGTAGGCTTCACAGGAAGATCCTACATAGCTATCCCGAAACACTTCGTTTCAGCCTTGGCACAAATTCAGGAAATCGAATTCATAGATTCAATCAAGTCCAAAGAATACGAATGTGCGATTTCCGGTTGAGCTCGACATTGCCAAAGAATTTCAAACAAACCACTCACCTCTCGTGTACAAGTGCCACGAGCAGTCCTTGACGAAATTTTGAAATATTACTCCAATTTTGCGACTCAGTTTTACGAATTCAGAGTGATAAAATTATAACTATACGCGGTTCAAGGCAGGTGAGGTGGATTAACCCATATCCCAACATAACTTAAATCCGTCATTCACTACGACTTATACACTTATAAAGTCATCTCTATGTCTTAGAAATCCCCAAATTACATTAATAGCCGAAGGCAGAAGAAATGCAGCACGGCACTGCTTGATCCGAAGTAACCTGCATTCCGAAAGAATCAGAGTAGTGCATGGAGTTAACTGAAGCGCTTGAAGGGCATCGAATCCGCAAAAACCCGGGACGGATTAAAATCGTTCCTTCCCACCAACGGTTGTGGCGGCGGTTACTATACCGTCATCACTCAAAGCCAACGAATATATGCATTCAGTCTGAAGAGCGGCCATCGAAAAAAAAAAAGTGTCGCAGTCAAAAAGGCTTGGTCGTGACCTTTGAAAATACGCAATGGACGCGACTACTGAAAATACACATGAGTAAACCCCTGACCCTTCACCGGGAAAACACACCATGATCAGAGAACTTGGCATGAACCAAGAATCCCGACCGGCTTTCGGACCGTCATGCTGATGGATGGGATGACGCGCCCAGAAACACGTATGAACAACAAATGAACTCAAACGTTGCGAACCCCGAATCCACAGCTATCGAACCTTTCAAATTGTACGATTAAGCAAGAACAAGTACCACTCACACGAGCATAAGCGTAGTACTTGCACACTGCACCCTTTCTTCACTCTAATTGATCATCAATGTCTTTATGACGGCATCCATATGTGTTAAAAGGATGGATAGAGCTCAGCTATTCAGGCGTTCGGCTGCAAGATCCCCGCTCACGCTTCTGCTATAGCGCAACAGCGGATTCAGTTAAAAAATTCTTCGAAAAAAAATAAAAATTTAATATTCCATCTAGGATTGCAACGTGAGCCCACTGTCATAGCTACGAATAATCAGTGAATAGAAAGGCACTTTCCACAGTGAATGCTTCGCGACCGAGACCGAAGTCACATTGAGTGGAAAATTCGGATGTGCCCTGGGTATATGCATGCCCAATCCGCTCGACACCCCTGAAGCGGGATCCAATCCAAGCGCTTTGAGACATCGAACCTACACGCGATCACAAACCACAGAGGGTCGATATGAATCACTGCAAAGCTAATGCACGTTACCCACGAAGGTGTATCTCAGACTGCGTTCTCTGCATTCCTTCTCGGAGGGCTATATGTGATTAATGTGAATAAGGAACCCCGGAATAATATGACGCAAGAAATGTTTTGATTCTGTCCATGAAAAACCTTTCACTCGAGGATTTCGAATAAAAACTCGGAATTGCATGAAAATTCCTCACTTTCTTCCGCGCTGTGAAAAAAAAAAAAAAAAAAACTGCGTATAGTCCCAAAGTTACTTTCTCACGCTTACACTTACGATACGGAATAAGATGATCGGCTACTTTCATTCGAGATCTGCGAGCTCAGCACGTGTGAATAAATGATATTAGCGTACATTCTTTTTTATTTAACCTCGTTTTCTGGATTTCCCCAAGACTAAGATCACGTCTCCCGACGCCAAGGTTCCAAGAAATACTATACCAAAAGGAAATAATTTAAGCAGGATATGGTGTTCATATGAATATTTTTTTCCGTGAACATTGCTGTACGTGTATGAAAACTTTTTTTATGATCTGCCCAAAGGCAGCGATAAATTCTTTCAGAACAGTTTGAAGTAGCCAATAACAATTATAATATCGTGCCAAGGCTTCCCGATGGTGTAACTTTTAATTCTTTCTTTTCTTTTTCAGTTCTGTGGATTTCACACGCACACTAGTGTGCAAAGCTGAGTGATACTTTTCATTTTTTATTCCTTTATTTTGAGTCCTCTGTGGGATAATCCAGGCAAGTGTATTTAATTCAGCTTAATATTTTGTTACTTTTTCGGACTCAGAAGGAGTGTCAATAAAATGTCTGACTTGATACGCCGAAATTCTCTACCCAAAATCAGATTAGCTCTTCAGATAACAGATTTGATAGGGCATTAACAAAATTCTTACATTTACTTTTTTGCCACATCATCATATAATCGTATATTCGAGGTTGGACTAAAGAAAAATGTCCGCACCAATTAAAACTAAAATACTAAAAGAACTCCAGAAGTTGAAAATATGGTTACAAGCTGTAGCCCGGAAAATTTAAATACTGCAGCTTGTCGAAGAAATAATAGAACAGCAAATTTACAAAACCTAATTTAGGTTTCTCTAAAAGGTTAAGAATCATAATTTTTCATATTTTTATAATCTACAATTCCTACTGTGATCATTTGGAATTTGAGCATTTAAAAATATTCCTATATCGAGAGAAAAATATTTTCAACGGCAGCACATTACCTGTTGATGCCAAGTTGAATTTAATTTCGAAAAATCATAAGTTCTCGGAATTTCATGTTCTCTATTTTTTTATGCTAAATGTGCGTAAGGGAGATCCAAATGCCGAACACTGCAAGGATTGGATTTACATTTTTTGTAATAAAAAAAATTGAAATTCAAGCATATGGGAAAAGTAAGAACATGCGAAAGACGTTCCCAACGTTTCTGATCATCAAATTTTAAAACTAATTTTCAAGTTGTTGCTTCAAAAATTTAAACTTGATAATAATTTTAACGCATCACTGAATTTTCTCTTAAAATTTGAAAATTGTTATGCAATGAGTCACCATTTCACTTTCACTTTTAAAATAATGACAGTCACCGATGATGAGATTTTTCAACAGATGTCCTTACATCTGCGGTAATTGTCCGGATGCATTCATGCCTGGGACCTTTTATGGAAGAGTAAATTAGAAATGGAAAATTAAAATAAATCTAAAAAAATGTAGGAAGCTTTCATTGGAGACCTGCGAGCTCAGTATACGTGTGAATAAATGATGAAATCATGCATTTTTTTCATTACTTAACCGCGTTTTCTGGATTTCCCCAGATTAAGATCACGTCTCCCGACGCCAAGGTTCCACTATAATTGCAGCAGCATTTTCGCTGGTTCAACAGAATAAGTTCCCATTACATTAGCTGATGACACGCGATGAAACAGCGTGCCCGACTGATGATAGACGCTGTAAACAGGGTTCCATGCTTTTGAAAATATAATAAAAATACCACGCATTCGCTGACGAGGCATGGCGTACGTCAGACTCACACGATCGCTTCAAAATCGCAGCCCGATGATGCAGCCAACGTCTGCGAGCCATTTATTCGGAAAATAGCGGCTTAATTCAAAATCACTGCTCGCGTCGTCGGGGATGAGAAGCGCAAGTGCGCAGTATAGTGGGGTGACCAACCGAGTGGAACTTGCAGAGTCGTCGTGACTCGTGTTTCCCTTTGGAACTCCGTCGCAGCGCGAAATAACACCAACGTCACCGACTCGCGGGTTCTCCATACAGCGGGACAAATCAGAAGCGGCCCGCACATCTGGGATGCTTGATAATACTGTACCGTATAGCACAGCTCGCCAGCTGTCGCAGCAGGACCATTTTCCCACCTCATCCTCAACCCTACTGATGTTGGTATTATGCGAATCGATTGTACATCGGAAGGGCATGTGCTGGATTTGTGATCCTGATGTACAGCAGGTGGGATTTCGGAAATCGACAGAAATCATCGCTTTTCTCGCAACTGTACGAAATAAGACTGACATATCTCAACTATTTTGAGCTAACAGCCCGAATTAAATTGGCAAGATTTTCAATTTTGGGTATGAGAACCCGCGGCCATTAAATAAAAAAAAAAGTGCTGGCCATGAAAAATAATCGCTGCCTGATTTACCGTATTACGCTATCCGATGCCTTCATTCTGCTGTTTTGTTAAATGTTGAATTTCAAGCAGACGTGGAAAGAGAATAAAGAAGATTAATACTTCCCAAAATTTTTCATGATATGCAGGCTTTAATGAAAATTCTTAATTTTGGCTGCAATAATGTCCAGCACGTCTGCATATCCATGCTTTTCATGCACCATCAATTTTAAGCCTACCCTAAAATTTTTCTCTGCTTGTCAAGAGCTTTAAAAAATATGTCTCAATATCCTGCGCCATTTCAAACTGTGAAAAACAATGTGATGTTGAATTGCTTTCCAATACACGGGCGGTTAGTTTAAAATAGGATGTAGAATTCATATTTTCGCCGAATCGGGTTCTGAAAAACACATAAATATAAAAATTCTATTTTTCATCACGGTTAGTTGTTTTTGTGACCGCAGTGTTTAAATCCATTCAACTAAACCCATAAAACTTTAAACCTATATAGTAAAGTTTGTTGAAATGTCTGATGCTAATGCCCAGAAAATCCAGGATTCGTCTCTGTTGAAAAATCTGGGTTCCTTTCAAACGAACCCTTCCAGAGGAGGACTCTACGCCTCATGTAAACCCTGGCTCGACGTTTGTCTGCAATTTCACACCATCGCATATAACTTTGAATTGTGTTTGAATGCCATCACGCGGATAACTTGAACAAACTGCCCTGCTGTCCAAATCATTTTTTTTTATTACTCACTGTCATAACATAACTAACATAACCGATTGGTACGAATTCGCAACTATGCAATCTTTCTCTCTCCCACTCTCTCACGCGGGGGCACGCCAAAAAAAAAAAAATTACACAGCAAACATCCCGAAAGGCCCGTTGCTGCGACAAGGTGCGATTTGAAGGACGAATAACATCGTCGGAAAGTAATCACAAACTAAATAAAATCAATCGATTATCTGACGTAACGTTTTCTTGCCGAGCTGCAAAAGCGAATTAAACCCTTGGAGTTTTAAGATTGAAAACTCACCAGCAATTTTTTCGCAGAAGCAAAAAAGAAGGAAAAAACGGGGCCCAAATATCGAAGGGAGGGTAAAACACACAAGAGTCACACACATTCAGTCATGAGCAAAGAAGTCGTCAGCACAAGCGTCACCTCCGTGACTCGACACCAACACAGGCAACATTAAAAAAAAAAAAAATCCAGACGCAGTGAAGTGATTACAGTACTGCATCGCGGTTGGTTGAAAGCGGGAACGAAAAAAAAAAAAAACAAACAGGGAGAAATTCTAACGAAATGTGAAGCAGGCTGCCACGTTTTCACGAAAACGACACGATTTGTTTCCCTCCCCACGCAGACTTACACTGCCTTAGACACGGAATCCGAAATTTACGTATAACTCGAAGGTAAAGTTCCCCGTGCGAGCCCATCGCTGGGTGACGAGTTCTGCGCACAAAATGTTAAGGCCGGCGGTTTTATTCTCTCCTCTGCCCCTTATACACAGAGTCCTGCGACTCTCTATTATCTATCTCCCTTTTTCTACCTCTCACCCTGTCTCTCTTCCTCTCATTCACAATCTTTCACGTCATCAACCAACAATCAGACCATGTTATCCCACTGAGATTAACCTGCTTTTTTTTTTTTGGTTTCCTGCGCGGTGATTCAGATACACGCGTCCTGTTGTCCAGGCATTGATAGACGGATATCTCAGGCAGGGTGTTTTCTTAAAATTTGAAAGTGACACGTCATCTTTCCTTGGAAGCAGTCTATTGACGGAGGAAACTAATCGTGCTCTGAGATCCCTTCACGGGGACTTTTATTTTTTGGGGGGCACATAAGGCAGCATAAAAAGTATATGATATTGTTCAACTGAGGAATGATTTGCAGGCATGCTAAATTTCGCTTCTCTCAGTGCCCAGGATGACAGTAACAACTTTTCGTGAAGCAACTTCACTTTCCAAGCACCACCAGGAATATTTTTATTGCTGCTTCGATTGCTCCCATTGGCTGATGGCCTTCATTCCGAACTTTGAAAACTACAGTCCACACAAAGGATCCCACGAAATTAAAAAAGTTGAAGCAGTTGCTAGAGACTTGAAAAGTGCCGCGTAAAAAAAAAGACTTTTGTTCCCAGTTGGTTCGAAACCAAAGAAGGACCCAGGGTGAAACCAGAATTTCTGCTGTCAAGTCCAGGCTAGTGTTTCCCTTCATTTTTCATGCGTAATTTCCAGCTCACTTACCAAAAAAATGGCAAACAGGGGCTTGACTTGAAAACGATGCTGTCATGGGCCAGTAGACTGCTTTCGACGATCGTTGAAAATAATGCGTGAACTTTATGAAAACACAATCTAGACCCGAACAAACGCGCTGAGGAAATTTTCAATTTCTATACCGACAACTGCGCCGAATGATTCAGAATTCAGCTTTCATCGAAACCACGTCGCATTGACTTCAAATGTGCGACTGTAAAAATGCCGGCGTAACAAAAATGCCTGCGATATTTTTTTTTCCCTCTAGATTCTCTGATGAGTAATGCACAACATGGTCGTGTGAATTTCGGCCGGAGCCTCACACGTACAAGTCACCCAAGCAGCACGCTTCGAATCACACCTTGTCCCACAACTTTCGGAGAGTTTCAACGGAAAATAAGAGCGCATGAACCCCCTTTTTCACGATATCTCTTTCCATCGACATAAGAAATCCTTAGGTGACTCTTTCGCAAAAAAGAAAACCCCTGATCATGAATGCACCGAGTGCGTTAAGACCGAACACACTGGCCGACAAATGTGCCAGTACATAAAACTCGCTGACGCACGTTTCTCAGGTATTTAAGCCGCACTCATCCAACCCATTGTTACCATGTAAACCCCGTATTCGTCATGTTGTTGACAGGAATTTCTCGGACGGCTTCGACTGGAAATCGCTCATCGAACAAGACGCGAAAGCCTGAATTGATCCATTGTATATATTTTCACCCCCTTTTCGCATATGAAATCCCGATAGTGATCTTCTCCTACGTCTTGATATTGGCAGTGACGAGACCCTATAAAGAGACTAACACTCCGTGGCGTTGAGCAAAGCGCCACACAAGCTCGCGAAAGGGCATTTCATAAAACTCCACGTGTAAAATTTTCTCAATTATGCGAATATTTGAGATGCCATCGATGCTAAGATTCACGTGCAAATATTTAAGCCCGTTCTTCGGAAGTTTGTGGGCATATGTAAGATAAGATACCCCTCACGGGTTCGTCAAAAATTTTATCGTACGAGGTGGAAAACGAGTAAACACAATTTCCAATGGCAAGGTTTTCTCAAGGATAAGATAAACTGCAACAACAGAAAACAAATGAAATTCATGAAATTTACTCTTTGACTGGTCACTTGTTTTTGCAGTGAAGTTCTTACCTCGACGTTTAAGCTACAAATATTTTTTGATGACTTATTGATGAGAGTTCAATCGCTTGCACGGATGCATAGTTTTTGAACCACCCCATAAAGTGGTAATTTTCCGATAAAACGATAAGAAAGTTTATTCTAATATGCACACTGATTTTTTGCTTCCAAGTAAAAAAAAAAGTGCTTACTATTCAAGTATGTACCATGCTTTTCAGTAACATTTCTGTGGGGTGAATTTGCTAATACAATTCGCCAGGTTTTGAGAACAGAAAAACAGGCACCACGCGTGCACCCCATCTTGAATGAATTTTTGAAATGCCCCTTGAAAAGCTAGCAGATAGAACACTCGAATAAGTCGCTAGAATGAAGACCTAGCAGTGAAAATACTTCAGCTATCATTGCGGTCAGTTCATCCGCTTTTTCTCACCCTACTGTTCAGGCACTGTTCAAGTTCGCTCACTCTTTTACCTCCGCTAGCTCCGACTTGACATCAAATACAGTATATTGGCAAAGGACAAAGCCAGCATCAGAAGAGATCGCCGCCTGCCAAGATATCCCGAAAAAAAAACTAACCGGAAATCGGGAAGAATTACATTGTGCCTGCGCTTCTCCCGGCGCCGAGGAACGCTGTGTATAACATCATGCTCAATATATTCCGGAATGCGACGGAAACAATGTCCTGCTCAGCTCATGGTTCCTCGATCAGCCTTACAGTTTTCGATTCAGTTTCGAGGAATGGAAATATTGTAAAAAGAAACACAAGAGAGAACACGACTGATGAGGCAAGATTCCTAACCAAATATGGCCCGTCGCACTCAGCCTTCCGGCGAGGGAACCAACGAGTCTGCGAAAAACGAAGCCATGAAAACGGAACCCGGCGATAATCCCCTGAACCCATGCGAAGTCCGAGGCGCGGAACTGAGCAGGCGCCCCCAGGCAACTGGAGGCGACCCCGGGCGGAAGCAATGAACGCGACAAAGAACAAGGCAACAAGTCGAGGTCATGTGATGGGGCATCAGAGGGCGGCGATGAGGACCGGCAAGAGGACTGCGGACGCCACCGCGGCGGCAGTCCAGGATGGCGTCACCGTCACTCCGGCGTTGCAGGCGTCCCCTTCACATGCGCAGTACTCCACGAGTACGTGGTAAGTACCGGACCGCATGTAGCAATTTGTTCCGTAATGATCGTCTATCCACCCGCAAGACCGGTGTACTCGCACCGTTCCATCCACTGAGGGAGAAACGGATCAAATTAAAGTAAAAAAAAAAAACGCTGATTACCGTATTTACTCCAGTACCACGCGCACCTTTTTTTCCCAAATTTCAGAAGAAAAAAAGGGGTGCGCGTCATAAGCAGGTACACAATTTTCAAGAAGTTTTAGGAAGTTATGTTTGCATTACACTTAATTATAATGGAGAAATTTGGAACTCATATAAAAAGAAAACATTTTTGTATTGAAAAAGTTGAAAATTCATCAGATTTTTGTTCAATTCACGCCTAAAGTCAATTTTTTGGTTTTTATTTTTGAAATGTTATGGTTTTAGGTTCACGAAAAATTGGGGTGCGCGTCTTACTCGGGGATAAGATTTTTGCAAAATTTTTGAGTGAAAAACCCCTGTGCGCACGCCTTACTCGAGGGCGCGTGGTACTCGAGTAAATACGGTATCTGGATTTTTTTCGCCCTTCGCATGTTTCCATTTTTTATTCGCAAATTTCTTTGTTTTTTATTCAAGGTATACGCGGGAATGAGATTCCCATGATTAAGAAAAAACTCCTTTCGAAAGAAAGGGTCAAAATAAGCTGAGAAGAGTGGAATAATTTATTATCACCAATAAATAGTTTATTTGAACTGGCGCTGAGGGGCACAAAGACTAAAAAATGTCGGAATTTGTGAGGGAAATTCGTGCTGCAAATAGCTTTTTTAAATATTGATCGAGGACAGAAAAAGTTATGTTTATTCTGTTCCTTGAAAAGTGAAAACAGTTCTCGTCAAGACTTGTGCATGGGATTCTGAATATACGGTACTCTATTTATTGGAAATTAGAATCGCAAAGTTCAATTGGGAGCCTTGGACTCTCCAGCCGAAGTATAATTAAATTTCCCGGAGACTATTCAATAACCATATGGTAATTTGCAGACATGGTGCACTAATGCTATTCATTACCCAGCAGTCATTCCTCGGATATCCGGGAAATCTAAATGTTTCCCTGTGTATGGCCAGCTTATTCAAACTCCACATAATTTACCGAAATATCAGCTGTCCGAATCAAAAAACTGCTGTGAGACCCCGAGATGCGGACGTAATTGGTGCATCAAGAGTGTCTCTAAGTCGAAATGTCCCTAAGTCGAGTCTCATTTGCCCTTAGACTTACATTATATAATTTTTAATTGGTGTTTTATGAACAAAATACTCACCATAATTCCATGAAAATATAAATTTTCTCCCAATTTAAACTGATTCCAAATCAATATATATTTCAACACAAAATATGAACATTTGGGGAATTGAATTCTGATGCCTCTGTAGAGCATATAGAAAGGATGGCATACTCTGTAAAAATAACGTTCAAGTGAAAAAGAGAGAAGGAAGTCCCTCTCTGCTGGAGGTAATATTTTAAATTAGCTAAATGGATGGTAAATTGGTGAGAGAAATGCCCAAGAACTTACCTTACATCAATTTTAGGGTTGGAAATATCTGTTTCTTCTAATTTGGCATGAAATTTATTTGCAATTTTATCACAAAATGTCCCTATGTCGAGTCAGTGTCCTCATGTCGGGCTTATTTTATTAACTTTTTATTAGAAAATAAGTGTCCCTATGTCGAATTGTCTGCACGTCGAAGTGTCCGCATGTGGGGATCTCACTGTATACAGTAGTAAACTTGGAAAAATATAAGCATTTTTACTCGGAAGGAAAAGCGTCGGCGAATTTAATGCGCTTATTCGCGAATATTAAATGCAAATAAGCAAGGCTTCACAGCTAGGAGCCTCGTTGTTCAGAAGTATATAATTTCCGATGGAAGACAGAAATAAAAGGCGGAGGATAGAATCACCTTTTTGCGTGATTTTCCGACATTTGTTGGCTGTGGAATTGTTGAGGTGCGGCATAATTTTCTGCGAGCAGTCAACCTGGGCGATGGAGAAGTTGTCGAATGGGTCTCCACATCGCGGGTCGGTGCGCGAGTTACAATCGTAACAGAAGATCGCAAGCCCTGGACATAAAAACACTCATTAGAATCAAATCCCAAGGATTCTACGAGAAGATTGCCATCATTATATAGGCGAGGTCACGTTCAATTATACAGTATATGCAACAAATACGAATATTCATGACCGATACTCTCTGAAGAATAATTCCGAAATATAGCACAAGTGCTTATATATCCAACGTTTACTTATGCACAGGAAATCTTTCAAATCCTATTTGCATCGATTCCGTTTCATCTGAATTAATAAGATCTAGCAGTCTAATGCATCCCGAATCCATCACGCTGCGCAGCTTACAACTTCGTGCACGGATTTATAAAAGCCTCATTAGCTTCCACATAAAATATACCACCTTTTTCGACATTCGCGTATCGATTGAGAAAGCTTTCCGTGTGTTATGATTTTATAATGAAATTAATTTTCTAGTTTCCAGCGTGTAACGATTCACGAAGCTTCTTTATAGGTTATTTCCAATATCCCACAAAAAATGCAGGGCCCTTGAGTTTAAGTGAATAAAACAAACATGGAGCTCTCCATCAGTCACGTTAAAGTAGGATATCCGCTCAAGTATAAAGGCTGCTTGTGCATGAGGGCGCTTATTTTACCATTTTCCGGGGAAAATTATAATGGTCTTACACTCCGAATACCGTGATACAGTACGTGCATATAGGCATACCTGTATACCCCTTTCCTGGGTAAATAATGCCATGCTTTCAATGTAATGGTGCAACGAAAAAGAAGAAATCCTTTGCCCAATCTTCGTCACAAATGCAATAAATGACATTTTCCGTGATCACCAAAATACAAAAGACACGCGGGAAAAGGTCAATTTTAAAGCCTTTCGCCAATTTAAAAAATAACCAATATGCTTGATCTTCAACTTGTTGACCATTCGATTAAAACATGTTCATTATGATTGAACAGTATACAGGTGAAAACATCGCAAAAAATGAAAGATCAGTCTCAAGCTAAAAGTAAACAGCTATAACATCCAGTTTTGCTGAATGGAAAACAAATACCCAGAGGAAATGATGGTTTTTTGTTTTTTGTTTTGCTCCCCGCCTTTTCAAAACCTGGGTGGTCTCAGAAACCCGCGTGTAACCCGCAAAGACGCGTAGAAGTATTAAAAAAAAAACACGTCAGTGAAACTCTTTCTCAAGCTCTGAATGGAAACGTGCTCATTCACGGTTGTATCAGCACATCGACCTCGGATCATGTTTCTCGGTGAGAATCATAACATCAGCTCTCAGCCTCCTTTCCGAGAACCATGACAAGACAAAACTGCGATCAAAAAATAAAATCTTTGTCATACCCACGTCTATGCGTGGGATTAATCCGCGAAATAGGAGTCGATTGTAATCTCGGCTCACGAACTCAGTGAGACAAATCAAAAGCCTAAAAGGATAAGAGAGATAGAGAAATCGACTCCACCGAAAACTCTTGGGTTTTCGGCGGTAAAAACCGACGGGATGGATTCTATGAACAGCAGCAGTCACTTGATAGAACCCAGGGACGGCTCATCAGCCCAATAAAAGACGACACGCCGGTATTGCAAGAACGTCTACTTCCTCTGAGCCAAACGAATATTAGCATGGAATTCAGGTTCGGGATAAAAAAAAATAATAATAATCGAGCTAATATGGAATTTCAGATGAAGACTTAGCCATTCCTCGGCTCAGAACGATCCCTCGAGTTTTTATTCTTACTCGAAGAAGATTAAAAATTGTTCCGTCATTTATTCAATTTCTGCAAGTAAGCAACCCTGTTTGCCGAGAAAAAGGATAAAAACATAAGCATTCCTTCCGAATTATATATTTCCCGAGAAACATCTGGATGCAGCTGAACGATTTTCCTGAGCCTCCCTTTTATGTTAAAAACAGTAGTTCGCATCATAAATTGTTTTTTATTGCTTGACGTAGAAAGATCTCAAGATTCTGAGAAATTTTATTGAAGTGCGCGTTGGAATAAAATGCCGAGAAAACCTTCAGGGAACACAAATGCTGTAAAGGTTTGCAGTTTCTTGGGTTATAACTTTCTTTATGATTTGGTTACTGAGCAGCGGAGAAGGCGTACTTTTTTTCCCAATATTTTTCTCGAAAACTACCTTTTCTGTAAATGCTGCATTCACAATCTTTAAAAGTACAATCCACAGGTTGGAAAAAACTCAGATTATTTCCAAACATTTCTATAAATCACGCCCAAACAATATTGCATTACTGTACTTTCAATAAATAAGGCGTGACAGTGTTTGCGCACCACATGGATGGGAGAATACAGCTGTACCACCTGTGATGCGGCTAAAAATGCAGCTACTAAATATATTTTGAATTCCATGCTCCATGAGGAATCTAAACGATGACACTTTGTGCGTCAAAATCTTCCCAAATCACCGAAAGAGTTCGATAGTTATAAAAAAGTTATTCTTTTATTTTCTGGGAATATTTGCGGTCAATCAGCCAGGTGCTAAAAGCCGTGGTCTATTGAAGCTCGAAGAGCTACTTGTTTTAACAGTCGAGACGAGACCCCAAAAAACGACGAGACGATCTCAATCTTATTCTGTAGCTATACAACTGTAGGGCCCTAAAAGTTCCTCTTAGCTCCTGGATGAACGTTGGGGTTCCGCGCCCGAACCCGTGCCTGGTCGCTGGAGTGCATCTTCAGCTGAACACCCGCACCACAGCTGGATGGACTCCAGCGAGAGACTAACGATGTCCCCTTATCCGTCCAAAGAGTCTGTTCATTCGTATTCGTCACTAGCTATTTATTAACTTCTCGAGATTTTGGCACACACGGAGGTTTCTTTGGCTTTTCGCACGCTGCCAAAAACTCAGCACAATATCACCTATTTCCCGACCATGTCCTCTGCAAAATTATCGACCTTTCGCAGCCAATTTATGATACTAACCCCAGAAATAAAAAAAATTGAATAATGTATACAAATAATGTCTGCTGAAATTCCAGTGCTTCAAAATGTGCTGTTTATAGCGGGGGTTCGAACCGTTTGCACCAGATCCCGAATATTGATAAAAACCGGAGTTATGAACTCCAATTAACTGCTGATTGTCAAATTTAAACAGTCCCACACCGAATATTCGCGCTTGTGTATTTTTGCCGCAAAACTTGGCCATGAAAAATTGAATTTTTGCACATTTAGCTGTACTTTGAAAAATGTTATGAGGTCCAACTGGACTTTTTCTCACCTTTTTCTCGTTTGCAAGTGAAATCCATGTCGAACAGCATCTTCAAAAAGGATGCCTGATACAGAAGTAAACACAGCTCCTAACATTAAAACTCCTTTCAGCTGGAATTTATGCGCCCTTCGCTTGAATTAAATTTTGAAAAAGAATTTTAGGCGTCTCTTTTTTTCCTGGTGCATGCTATTCATTTAGTCTTTTCTTCCTGTGCATGTCTTCCACTTCCATCACAGGTATTCGCACCACGCCTTGAAAAGCCACTTTTAAAATTGAAAAACCTTTGCGTTCCACAGAATGAAAATGCCTGGAAAATTGGTCAGCGGAACGATAAATTAATTTTTTCGTGAGAGCAACCGAATACAGAGAAGCGCGGGATCTTCGTGGTATAACAGGAGCACCAAGGAAATCAACCACGGAATATCGAGTTTCCCGCAGAACCGCAGAAAAAATAATAAATTAAAAGTGAAAAACGACTCTAGTGTCGACAGCCCGAGTGTCGACCCACTGGCCGGGTTCGGACAGGTATACTGACGTGGAGCTAGGCTCATGCTATCAGCGCAACGATAAGAAAGGGGAAGAGCAAATCGGCGCGCTGAATATTCCCACGTCACGGCCGTTTTCGCTTTTCTGCCTCCGTAGGTCTGCACTGCCAGCGTCTTTTCAAGCTCTCTGGTTCAGCCCAGATGTTAGGGCGAGGCTGGGGGCATATACCAAACTTCCGGGAAGTTTCCATCAGCGAAATTATTCCCCCGCCCTTTCCTGGATTTTCATCATCCCACTCTCCATAGTGTAACTGTACCAGCATGATGGGCTAGGAACGTCATCTGAAAAATGTTTGCTTGGAAATGACCAACATTTATAAAATTTTCATCTGTCGAAGCCTGCGCAAGAAGCTTTAGTAAATGCAGGGATAACAAATTTATTACAGTCAAACTTCAAAAATTGGCCATCATTCGTTTGTGAGATTTGACAGGGGGTTTAAAGAAGGTTGGCGGTTCATCAAAAAAGGAAAATAATATGAAAACAAAGAATGATAGGAAATAAAGTTTGCTTTCTTCTAGAAAACAATCAAGGTAACCCCGGGGTTGGGTGCATTTAAATCCAGCTTATGATCCAAAGAAGTAAATTATGTCATCTTTGTGTTTACAGTACTCGTGTGTGTGTCTCTCTCTTTTTTTTTTTTAAATCGGAGACCTCTTACAGAAACTTAAATCTTGTTGAAAAAATTAATTGGAAGCAGCATATTTGAGTTGTTGATAATATTAACGAATATCGGAAGGTATTATAACGGGGTTTAAATTGCTAATGTCATCAGAGAAGGTTTGTTCAAGAAAATTAATTGGCGGCTTTTTGGTTATGCCTGCCGGGTTTGACTGTATTACAGCAGTCCCATCTATTTTCAACAATTCCAACGAGAAAACCCGAAAAGCAGGCCACAGTTCTTTGCGTGAATCAAGTGATCTGGAAACACCGCCTTTTCCCTTACTTTAATTAATTATTGCGCTATATATGAGCTGCATTTTCTCAGTGTTTTTAAATGGATTTTTTGTTGCTTGATTTATTCCGAAATGCTATACTGTAGTTCAAAAATGAGCACTTGCCCGAGAAATGTATTTCAATATTCTGCACGTCATGGTGAGAATTATTTTAATTCAAAATGAGAAGTTTTTCCATAATTTTTCCGCCAACCCGTCTCCGAAGATACTTTAAGCTAATTTGATGAATGAAGTGAGGAGAGAACGTTTATGGGGTTTTATAAAGTTTTTTTTCAGCCATCTTACGTTTGTTTGTTGCCTCTTCTCTGTTCCCGTCAATTTTCATTGAATGCTGGTACAGTATTCTCATGGCGTTTGCCGAATGTGCTAACCTTCATTGTTCAGAAGTTTGCCAAGATTTTACGTCGAACTCAAGGAACAGCACAAAAAGGCGATTGGAAAGGCATGTAGCGGAAATTGGATCTCGTGGGTCTCGCAGTACTCGAACTCAGCAAATACCAAAAGCTCATCCCCGGTCGGGTTCGCAGTCAAATAGAGACTCAATCGACCGCGACGAAGTCGGGCCAAAAAATTCGCAAGACGGCTCCCAGAAATCGCCTGCAACCCGGAGGCTGTTCCAACCATGAGGCACTGTTCCGATCGAACGGAGCCACGTGGAACAGGTCTAGGAACCCGCCTTTCCTCGACCGGGAAAAGAGGAAATCCAACCCACCCGCGAAACTGGGTCACAACTTCCGACACACATTCTGAAAGTCCTCTTGGATCCCTGGGTTGAACGTTTCAAGGTGTAAATTCCTGAACCACAGGATTTTTACATTTTCTCGATTCCAAGACGGTTCATTATTTACAGACCATGTTTTGGGGGTATGCAAAAACAAAAAAAAAAGGCTGAAGAACTGGATTCAGCAAAACTCGTAATCACATTCACGCAATTCTTTTTTCGCGTTCATACCTGCTTTCAGAAGACCTGCCATAATTTCTGCCATTAAAGAAAACAAACTGCGGCAAATTCTCGCTTCAGGGGTGTGCATCAAAAATAAAGCGCGCGCGAATAAAAAGAAAGAGGCGAACAACAGACGCCTTCGAAAAGGGCAACCCCGCGAGCATGCCAAAATGCACAAGATGGCGCATCAGTCCTGCAGACAGAAGTTTGTTTCTCAATAATTACTGCGAATGCAGAGCTCCCCGCACCGACGAAGAGC